GGGATTCAGAGGGGGCGTTTGGGATCGAAAGTGCGACCAGGTTTTGGACCAGAATTAGATGGGGAAAAGCTGTGGCGGCGCCAGGTGTTCAGAGCCAGGATGGGCGCAAGAAAGGAAAGAAAAGTGTTTTTAAATAAGGATTCAGGGGGGGCGTTTGGGATCGAAAGTGCGACCAGGGGAGGCTCGTTTTGGACCAGAATTAGATGGGGAACAGCTGTGGCGGCGCCAGGAGGTGTTCGGAGCCAGGATGGGCGCAAGAAAGGAAAGAAAAGTCTTTTTTTATAGGAATTCAGAGGGGGCGTGGGAGCGACCAGGGGAGGCTCGTTTTGGACCAGAATTAGATGGGGAAAAGCTGTGGCGGCGCCAGGTGTCGGAGCCAGGATGGGCGCAAGAAAGGAAAGAAAAGTCGTTTTTTTATAGGGATTCAGAGGGGGCGTTTGGGATCGAAAGTGCGACGAGGGGAGGCTCGTTTTGGACCAGAGTTAGATGGGGAAAAGCTGTGGCGGCGCTGTGGTCCCGCCTGCACCTCCTTCTGTCTCAGAACCCCGTCAAGGTAAGCTGCAGCTGGCCATTCTTGTCGATCAAGTGCTCGGATCCATAACTTCGATGTGACCGTCACAGGATGCAACTGCAACAATGCAAAGAGCTGCAGAACTGTCACCTCATGCGGCAGAGCATATTTCCGCAAGACTCCGGTACGTTCTGCCACTTGTCTCTGCTTCATTCAAATACAAAACATAGTCATAGACCTTGCAGATGCTATATAGGAAAAACAATGGGTGAGCAGAGGCCTTGCACTGCCTAGCTTTACCTCACCAAGGACATGTCACAATGCTTCCGTGGATCTTTTTGCTACGCTAGTACCTGTTCTGGCCACACAAACAACGAGGCCACAGAAGCAACTCCCATTGCTAGCTACGTCTGCTCAGCCCTGCACTCATTACATCTTCCCCTTGCTCTCCTTCTATGATTCTAGTCCTTACACCAATTTGGCTACGGCACAGGTCGCCCGACGAGCTTCCCATGTAGCGCTTGCCACGCATCGCGTCGGTGCAGGCAGGGACACATCAACCGCACTGCCGGAGTCTTTGCACGGATGAAGCTCTGCAAATTTCGAAGCTCGATCTGCCCCCCCCGAAGTCGCACGTGCTCCATATCCCGCACCTCCACCCCTTGCTCCAGCAAGTATCGAACCAGCATGTACAAGCCGACCGCCAAAACCACTGCTCTCTCAAGGCATTTTTCCCCCGTCACAGATCGAATCGTATTCGGGTGACAAGGGAATTTGCCACTACCGCCTGCTCGCTCATGCATCTTGCGGCGATATGTATCAAAGCACCGCCTGGAAGCCCACACAGACAGCCCTTTCTTCGACGCCAAGCTGCACAAACGCTGATACTTGGTCTCGTCCACGTTCTCTCCGGGCATGACTTCCTTGGTTTACTCCACAGCCCTCTCTTGTGGTCATCTTAGTCCTCTGCATGCTCATCGTCACCAACAACAACACCCGGTCATCCGACTCGAAAAGATCACCGCCTTTAATCCCTGGCACCGGTTGAAAACCTTGCCCAAATAGAAAATATTAGCAGGCGCGTCTGTATCATCACCCTTTCAGGGTCCTCGAAAGCAGCAGTCCATACACCAGATCACCCCTCTGGAGTGAAGCTGCTGTGGTACCCAGTCGGATTAATGAAGCTCTCAAAATGAACGGCCGTGGCGTTTCTTGTCGGACTTCGCACCATGTCGCGTTGGGATCTGTGACACAGACCACGCACTACCCCTTCTTCACGACTACAGTTGGCCACTTTAGTCACAGCAACTTTTTGGGATCACTAGCATTAGCCTGCGGGGGACTTGCTACGACCCCGTCACAGCATGGTCCTAGCAATCATCTATTCTGCTTGCGGAAAGCCAGTAAAAGGATTACTGACTTGAGGCCAAGGGGAGGAGGCCGAAAGCTAGCGGAAGCACACTGGCGGTTCAGCAGCAAATCAGCAAGCAGCAACCACAACAATAAGCAACAAAGCACCAATAACCGCAAGCAGCAGCAGCAGCAGCAGCAGCAGCATCAACCGCAAGCAGCAGCAGCAGCAGCGGCAGCAGCAGCAGCAGCAACAACCGCAAGCAGCAGCAGCAGCAGCCGCAACAACCGCAAGCGCAAGCAGCAGCAACAACAACCGCAAGCAGCAGCAGCAGCAGCAGCAACAACCGCAAGCAGCGGCAGCAGCAGCAACAACTGCAAGCAGCAGCACAGCAACAACAACCGCAAGCGGCAGCAGCAGCAGCAGCAACCGCAAGCAGCAGCAGCAGCAGCAGCTGCAGCAACCACCGCAAGCAGCAGCAGCAGCAGCAACCGCAAGCAGCCATCTGGCGCCATGTCTCGTGGGTGGAGGTTGTACCTGTGCTATGTGGACGTACAGTAGGAGGTCTGGACTGGATACCAGAAAGTTATTCAAACTTGGATGATCGAAAAAGAAAGGATGCTGCAGCTAGGTGCGTCAGAAGCAGGATTTCCGCGTCCGCGCATGGAGGAAAGGAAGGAGGGTGCCATCTTCAAACATGAACCACACAAATGAGCAAATGAAAGCATAGGCATAAACACGTGCATCGCTACTAGGAACCAGTGCATTACTCCTGGTCCGCGGTCGGCGGCAGGGGCGGCAGCCCTTAAATAATATAATATAATATATATATATATATCGTACCATACAATCACGTCATATATCATGTCATCGATAACATGCACAACAACAAAACAAAACCACTCCCCCCACCTCCCCCCAATTTTAAATCACACGACTATCCGATGACAAATTTGATGAAACCGAAGACAAGCTCTATGATACCGATGACAAAGTTCTATGAAACCGATGAAAGCAAAACCACTCACACTCCCCGCCCCCGATCAAATGATTCGCGCACAATCACAAAACCCGATTTCCAAACACCAGTAAAAAAACGCTCCAAACACCCGATGTCCATGGGGATTTAACATCTGTACTGCATTGCACTGCGCTCCGAACCATCCGATCGGACCCAAGGACCAAGATTTGCAACATGGCAAAAGGATGCAAAGAGGATAGGAAGGAATAATAAAACAATCATCCTGGCACCACCATTGATTACTTGTTTTTTATTACCCAATTTGTCAATGGTTTTCCCAAAAGGAGTTTACAATATTATAATACTGTATATATATATATGATTTAAAACTACAACACCAGATCTTCTCCCAAGTCCAGTCTGACCTTTTCGTCTGGTCTTTAGCCTCCTCTCAATTATCCCTAGGGCTCCAACCATATCCTCAAATCCCCCAAAACCCACCCCAACCACCGTACCTCAGGTACTTGGAGCCCAGCTCCGCCGAAGCCCTCCGTCTCCCTACGACGAGACCGAACCGGAGACCGACCCTCGCCCCCGGCGCCTGCCGTCAGGAAGGCCAGGGCCTCCAGCGTGGGCCTCGGGGCGCGCCGTCCGACGTCCGACGCGCCCGCTTCGGCGGAGCGAAGAAGGTGAAGGTGAAAGCAGGTTTGCTCCGGAGATAGTGGACCAATGATAAAGCTTTCACCCCAAACTGGCATAGTGAAGGAAAAAGAATTGTACTTCCATGAATGATTCCAGCAAATCACCTGACCCATCCATGTGGCCACTTAAATTACCTCATGGACACTCATGCAGACTCATGCATGTTCTGGGACACGCATGACACCACTCACTTTTGATCTCCGCTATATTGAATATTGATTCCCTGTACACACCATGTGATTCATTTCTATCCAATTCGAGATGGACTGGTCGTATCTTCCTTCTCGTCTGGCATGCCATCCACATCCGCAGACTATGGATGGCGCCACCACTCCCCCGTTTCCCCCGTCTTCCTAAGCGCCCCAAACACCTCCTTCCGCGAGCGATACGTGAGGATCAACAGGATCACCTGATCCACTCGGTCGTCCGGAAGTCGATCCCGGACCAATCGCCCGACCGGAGGAGTTCGACTCCTCCGGTCGTCGACTTCGGGTGTCCCAGTCGACTTGGGGGAATTGACCTTCGTCGCACCTGCCCCATTTTCCCGCAAAAACGAACTCCATGGCTTCACCCGCTACGGGAACGAAGACAACGCGTGGGTCTCACCCGACCCATGTTCCGAAGAGCCCAGTGGTGGGTCCATGGTTCAGAGGAGCAGAGTACAGTATGTTGATCATCTCTTGCTGTGATAACCCCAGGAATCGATGGAACTGGACAAAAACACATGCATGCCTACCTTCAAAGGGTGGTGTTGAGGCTCAATGTGTATGGACCGTTGTTGGGATATTCGGATAGCACATGCAACATGTGCTCCAATACATTGTCCCTCTGAACGGGTGAGAAGAAGCAGGTTCTACCTTCCAGAAGTGGTGCAAGCCAGGACTGGTATTTACAGATGGTCTAAGTGGGTGGGGCCAAAAACGAGAAAAACCTCGGTTCAACATATCAATTGTCGTTATTGAACACATATCAATTGTATGTATTGATATTAAACATTGCATCAATTCCAACAAGTAAACAGCTAAGATCAAAGCAACAGGTTCCAGGACTACAGGGTCATTGTGAGATCATGTGAAGACGGCTACCGGCTTCGGCAGTCCGTCCGCCCCAAGGTGTTGGGTGCGTTCGTCCAACCAAAGAAACCGATGGGACGGATGAGACAAGTTGCGGAAGCAGGTTGCCTTGGCTTGCACCCTTTGTTGAACATGGTAACATGTTAGTTGGTGCGCATTTTTTGCGTGCTTCCATGTTGAGGCAAACGGTGTCCGCTGGCCACTACTTGCAAGCTTAGATTGAAGATTGGCCATAACACTTTTAGCACAGTGAAACGTCACTTGTGTCACACAGGAAGCCTTTGTCAGTACAATTCAATTGCTGCGAGCTGATTTCCTTTGCTATAAGGGCTTAACCCTTCCCAAACCATCCATATGTTTGTTTCTTGTTCACATTGACCACCGAATCGCGCCAAGTCCACTGTCCATCCCATCTGTCCCATCTGATCCTCTGACCGGTCTTTTTCATCTCGGCTTCTGCAGAATCCACAGCGGTTCTCTCTCCTCGTCCGTCACAAAGACCGTGAGACCCATACCTGGCGGAGTGGGAGTCCGCTTGAAACAAACCCGTTTTTCCTCCAGTCGTACCCTCTGAGAAGGTGTGTGGGGTGGGTTTGGAGGGTCTAAATACCTTCTGAGGAGGTACTTGGAGGTGTAGGGAAAGCCTACATACAGCTCCTGGCCCATATCCGAAGGTAGCGACAGACCCCCCCCAAACCACCCACCCACCCACCCACCCACCCACCCACCCCTGGCCCACGGACTCCCCACTTCGGACGGCTGCCACTGACCCAAACCGCCTGTGAAGACGGACGAAAAACCTACCTGGAAGAGGTATCTCCAAGGTGTTTGGGTGACAAGAAGCGCCCAAGAAACCACCGCCCTTAAAGGTCCCAAAGCAGACCGTTGTTGAGAAGATGGCCTCGCGTGGAATGGTTCTCTTTGGATTGTTTTAGATGTTTGACATTGTTTTATTGCGCAAAAGTAGACAGTACGACAGTAAACATAAACATATCATATGTACTGTATGTTGCGAGCTGGGAACTTTGTTTGGTCGACATGAAACCGTGTGGTCTTTGTTCTTATCAAATCGTTTGACCCTGTCGAACGACCTGTGGGAACAAAGCATCGAACGACCGGAACGACCCATCCATCACAACCCTGCGGACGTAACGTCACGGCCCATCATGAATTGAAGGCCAGCAGTTCCATGGAGGCCACGGTGCTATCCATTGAGGAAGTCGGGGTATCCATGTCACATCCACTCACTTTTCATAGGGGACGATAAAAACAACCAAGACATTCTCGTTCTCTGTGAACTCGGCCACCTTGGCTGCGTAGTTCACTTCCCTATGGATTCAATTCACACACCTTCTGAGATGATGGGCGATTTTATGCAGGCGCCAGGAGGGTCCAATCACCTTTTGAGCTTCGGTGGCAGTGGATCCATCATTAAGGGCTTAACTATAAGTCGCCACCTCTAATCTAAGGATCCACTTCCTCCTGTCAGTCTTCTGAGATTCCTTGACCTGTCGCACCTTCGACCTGGATGCCAGGCTTAGACCGACTGGAGACGGATCTCATCGACGACATGGACCAGTCTACTCATCGGGCCCCTGTTTGGGACCCCTGGGTCGGGTCCCGTTTCGCCAGTGCCTAGTGGTTGATGGTTCGGTTGCAGTTAGGACATCTGTCAAATAGAATAAATAAGTCATTTGCAGGACAAACCGACTGTTGCAGGTAGGACAAACCATGACAAACCCAAGGTCTCCCCTTTTTCAGAGACACTGGTTGAAGGATGATTTCACATGAGTCAATCCTTCCACATACCAATTCTAGCACTTCACCATGGCCCAACACCTAGCTTCACCCGTGTCAATTTTCCGTGGTGACCAGGAAACACCGATCTTGGCAGGTCCAGATTCTCATGTAGAACCTTGATTCATCAAACCCATCCAAACATGGATTGTAAAACCTCTTCAAGCCTGGAAAGTTGAACATGGTTGAAGTATAAACAACCGTCAACCGTCTGATGTAGACTCTTAACTAATAAACCCTCCCAGTTGAATTGAACACCCTCTTCGTCTGGAAAGGAAATTGATCAAGAGTCTAAATTGTATATTACCCAGACACTCCATGTATGCCATATTTGCCTACATTGGGGTGGTTTCAGGGGTCAATGTAGGCATATATGGCATACATGGAGTGTCTGGGTTAGATGGAATGGAATGTCTGAGTAACATCTGCTGACCTTCCGCCGCACTTATACCACACCACAGGCGTCCACACCAGCGGCAAACTCGTCCACGGCCAGCTGCACGCCCACCCTTGTGCCGTCCCCTGGCAAAGCAAAACGCCATACTCAGAATCAAGACCATCCATGGGAAATGAACCGTCACATACAATACGTTGAATCATTGGGTATATCCAATTACAAGTAACCAGTGGATGATGATCGTTCGGTTGCAGGGTGAAATCTCAAAAATAGTGATAATATGTGCATGTGATAACTGTTGTCCAACTGTTGCAGGTAATACACACCCAAGGTCTCCCTATTAAGATACCCGTTCAACAGGAAACAAAAAACACATAGGTATTTGAGGATGTCATAGGTTGCGGCTTGACAGGTACATATACCATCAGTTGTGCTTTATGACCCTTCTGGGATAGGACACTCCTTGAAACATGGGAACAGTACTATCCCTCACCACATAGATCCACTGCCACTCTCTGTGACACTCATTTACATAGGCACCAGGAGGGAGCAAGTACATTCTGAGAAGGAGGGTGCCGCTTAATGACGAAAAGCAAAGAAGTCTGAATTAATTGCGAAACTCTGGGCCTTTGACAAGGGTATTACAAGGTCCCATTCTGCCACTTCCAGCATACCTATGCTATTAAGTTTATGTTGTTTGCTATTAAATTCCTTTTCCTTCGCTATAGAAAGAAAATAACTGTGTTTCGTTATTAAAATCACTTGTATCAAATCTATGTTTTGCTATTAGAGGGTACCCTAAGGTATGTAGATCCTTAGGGTATGTAAGCATGCTTACATATCGCACCTATTGCGACATATTTGTGACATGTTATTTCTATACCTGAACGTCGGTCACTTACGTCTTGCTTCCACCCCTGGGTCTCTCTTGCTTCATCCCCATACTTGTCCAATGGAAGAAGCACAGCCTCTTCTGACTTCCCTCAGTTGGAGGACATGTTCAGGTTCACCGAACGATCAATTAGTACCCCCAACGGGAAGGGAAGTTGGGAGGTACAAGTTCCTCACCGGTACCAACGGTGCCAACTCAGTTGATCCCCCATGAAACTCACATGGAGGGGTCAATCCTACCCATTCTTTCGTGATTTCCTGAGGGAAATGATGCATGTCAGCTCCCAACTTCGAACCCAACCAACTCTCCCCTGGAAGTCAGACCAACCAGCTCCCGAACGGACATTGTCGGAACGCAGCTTCGGACCCTCACTGAGACGAACCCAGACCCGTCTCGACCCGTCTCGCGGGTCGACGGTCCCACAGCGCCGGATCCGACCGCGCCTTCGGTGGAGTAGTTGCTTCCCAGCACGGTGCCGCCTTCGGCTAAGAGTGGCCACCACTCCCGGAGATCCGTCAGCACCTGAGTCGGTCACTGGAACTGTTCCGGGCACCGCATCGCTACTATAGTAACAAGCTACTATATACCAGCACCACCCAGTTGGGGTGGTTATTAGATGGAAAATAGATAGTCAGGGGGGTCTATAAACCACCCTTTTGGTGGTGCTACTATATATAGCTTCAGCTTGTTACTAGTTGGATCACGCGTTGTCTTCAACGCAAGTGGGTGTCTTTTTCCGGCCGTGTCCTCACTCGCCTTTCGATCCTGTGAGGGGCACCGACCGGTTTTGCGATGAAAGAGACCTTGGCTCGGTCACCGGGTGTCTTGTCGTAAGTCAACATGAAGGGATGTAAGAAAAGGCCAACCTCGGTTTGTGGATCTGACATCGAGTGCTGGGCCAGTAAAGGCCCAAAGGTGGTTGTACATGAGGTGCTGTGGATTTACTTGGGCTTGCAGTACAGTCCTGGTCTTTCTCTTACAAGGCCAGTCTGGGCCGGCCTTGGCCGCTTCACTCGGACGCTGCAAGACTGCTGCAAGTGCTTCCCTGCACCTCCCAACACTTGGTTGTTCATCAACACCGCAGCTCTTGACCATCTCAACTCCCTGAATTGACTTTAAGGGAACACCTATCGGAAACCCATCGTTTTGGGGAGTGAACACCTGTGATGGTATTTCCTGTAACATGCTCCCTGAAACATCCTTAAACCAAAGGTCAGAAATGGCCCTCATAGCTAGGGTTTTGGACCTCCAACATGTATAGCAGTTGCTTCGGGTCCAGGGTCGCCTCTGAGGTCTTTCAACCACATCACCAGGTCGGTCTTTCACCACCTCTTCGGGGGTTCCACTTCACCACATCTTCGTTTAGATAGCCGAACTGCCACTTCGATCGTTGGATCAAGTTGGTATCTTGCCTTATCTGCTAAGAATTTGAACCAATCTAAGGGGTTTAGGTTGAGTAGTACATCCCTTTTATATTTGCTTCTCCTGCTTGACATCGCTTCGCCAAATGTGCGCCACGCCAAGCTGTGCGGCGAACGAGGCACGGCACCGTAGGAGGGGTTGGCATCTTGGAAGATCAGCGACGGCTTGGGACCTGGCAAGGCGAGATCGCTCACCCCTCCTACGGTGAGAAGGCTGGACCTCCCTTCTGAGAGACAAGGCCCAGTTGGGACCTGCGCGCAACGCGAGTCCAGTCGCCATTCCCCAGTTTCTTGACCTGTCTGGGACGCTGGGACGTCCTATGGCTTACATGAATGATGGTTTTGGGTGGTGAATGTAGGCCATATATTTGCGCTGCCATGATGCGTTTGGGTTCTACTACCTCGAGTCGACCCGTGAAAGTACCTTGGAAAATGGGTACAAGTACCTGTTTTTGTAGGGTCATGCCCCACATGTTCTTCTTACTTTTGAGGCTCCAGGTATACTCGGACACTTCATGGGACTGGCTGATTTACATCCGTTCGGGTGGTTGAGAAGGGGTGAACGTAGGTAAATATGCCGTACATGGAGTGTCCGGGATATAAAGCCATTCTGAAAAGAACAAACCAGCTGATTCCTTACGAGGTCACCTGGCCCCACAGCTTGTAGGTCTCCAAACATTGGAAGCACTGGGTCTGTGGGTAGTGGAGAAGGCACACCAATTCGACCAACTGATGGTTCTCAATATTGGCCGTGGGTCAAAACCAGGAGAAGCCATGTATATACCTTGGAGAAACTCTGTCGGTTTTGTTTTAGCACCCGAAAGGAGGAGAGAAACACAGCAAAAAGCCTCCTCGAGCTGATGGCCTGTGATCTATAGTTCTGTTTCTGTCCAACCTTAGGGACCGGATGAAACCATGAAACCTTCTGAGTGACCGAACGAGTGGCTGGTCAACCCAGTGGCGTTCGGTCACGGAGGGGGGTCTTGAAAAGGGCACACCATCCTGAGGTCACTGAGAAGGTCCTGGTCTACATGTTTCCCACCTCAATTGACCCGTGTTCAACCATTCCAACTGGTCCGTACATATATATGGTGCCATGGGCTGTCTTTCAGTTGCCTAGTTTAGCCGCCAACGGAATTCGTTTATCACATTTTAGATTAATTTAACAAATTGCAATCCGAAGGATTTGAATGCCGTACAGCAAGCCCACCGCAAACAATGCTGAAAAATGAACTAAAAAGGCAAAAACCTCCCATTTCACATGACATGTCTCAAAAACAGAACCAACGCCTGCGGATAAAACTTCACCGACCTTGATCGGTCCTAGGTCCGCGTCCTTGCGTTCTTCCACTGAGCGCAGCCCAAGTGGCCCCATTTCTTTTCGACCCAAATGCGCGGCACGGTGAAGGAGAACTCTCGCCTCACCCGGTCTCACGCGGGTTGCGCGGCCGCGAACGTGAAGGCAAGACAGGTTCAAGTTTCCACCGGAAGGTTCAAGTCTCCAGTCGAATCGACATATAACAAATCATGCCATCCTGTTTGGATTGCCAGGACATCTGGGATAGTAGTGGTGTAGTCCAGCCAGGACACCCATGTCCAGGATGGTCCTGGTATCTACTCTCATCCAATCTTTGATCCCAACACTCTTATGTCAAATGATTGTGATATATTGTGATTATTGTATAACATACTTTGTTTATCTTTGTTTCGACTCAGATCAACGCCTAAACGCTTTGTTTGATTTCTTTGCGGTGCTTCAACTGCCAAAAGAGTGCAATTTACAATATGGCTTGGAGCTTCACTTCCAAAGGATTGTTGCTTTGAAACTGAATTCAGGGTATTTCAGGCATCTCAGGGTCACATGAAATATATGGCAATTCATGTGTGATTTCGCACCAGCGGTGGTGCTCACCCCCTAGGCCCTATATCCACTCTATCCCTCTCACCGGTGGCAGCTCAGACACACGAACGAGTATCGGCCCTGAACCCCTGCGTGATCATGTAGGCGATTTCCTCGGTGGAAACGACGTGAAGCCAGGTCAGTCAGGCAAGCTCAGGCCAGGTGAGTTAGCTTTGTCAGGTCAGTCGTTGCAGTCACCATCTACCTACCTGGAGCATCCCGACCATCTGGTCGTGCTGGACCAGATCTCGGATAGTAGTGTATGGGCAGTCCAAGGTGGTTTGAGGTAGTCGGAGCAAGCCCTAGAAAAATGCGGTCACCGGATGATGGTCACCAAGACTAGTGGCAAATCTTGACTGTGTGTCCAGGACTTCCTTTTTGCACCATCCATCCATGAACCGTATCTACCACATGTGTACTCAAAGCGCTACCCTTATGCACGTTAACATTAGCATGTTGTCCTGCAAATGATGCTCAAACACCTTGCTACTTTGTGCATTCCCAAACCTCGTGTGCTGCGGGGTCTCCAGGTGCCCGGATCTCATAGACAGCAGCTGTCACACAAAACAGAGCCCAGCACACAGACAGTGTAGACATGTCACATCAACCATGCACCATGCATCCCTCCAAACCCAAACCCCTCAGAATCATGGTCAAGCTACATATACAAGCCTAAAACCTATGAATTAGACTGTAAACATATGTAAACATCGTGTTTTGTGCTGTTTTTTTCAACGGTCTTCGACTGTATCCCCGCTACCAACGATGGAAACCCCATGGTAAAATGGTGTGTTCCACATCCAGGTGACCACTGTCCTGGCATCCGAACAGTGTCCTCCACGGTGTTTTCCTCACTAAGATCCTCCAGGTGGAAGCAAAGGGTGCGGCTGTTCCAGAAAAAGACAGCTTTTGGTCCTTTGTTTCACCAAAACCCACCGAAGCTCACACAGTTTTCCGAGGCAGACCCTAACCCTTGGCCCAACCGGGTGGCCACCGAGCTTGAACCGAGCATCTCAGATTGTCGTAGTTCCTTTGATGTGCGGCATCGTCCAAATTCCTGGGCTTCGCGGGTGCGAAGACGCTTCCGGTTGCTTCCCGAACACTGGACGCGCCGAAGGTTGCGGTGCCATGTCGTTGCCATGCTTGGACCAAACACAACGGTGAAGGCAGTTCTCTGTGCCACCGTCTGCCACCGTCTGGAAAATATCTATACCTGGATCTTCCAACTATGCCAAATGTCTGCCGAACTTGGCTGATGTTGGATGAAAAGGATTGAAAAGGCAGAAGGATCTGCACAGTTGGAAGCTCCAGGTGACCTCCAGGTCACCGTCTTCACTTCTGCCACACTGCCAAGCTCCGGCCGGCTCTTCAGCCCGAGGGACTCGGGACGATCATAACCTCGCCGCAAGTGGATGTAAGGATCCACCAGAAAGAGCACCCCGTGCCTTGTCCAGGAGCGGCCGATGTCCAGGAACGGGTCGATTTGGGAAGACCTATATCTACCAGCACCCGACTTCACAGGTCACCACCTGCGACTCTTAAGTCTCCCAGGACATCATTTCGGAGACCTGTTAGAGGTTGCTGGTGTATATAGTATACCAAATGATACCAAATGTACCTATATCGGGTTGTTCACTTGGGGAGTATAGTATTTCCTCGTACTCTGTGCATCAACCCAATTTTTGCTCAAGGGCCAACAAAATGACAGCCTAATCCCTCTATGCCCCAGCTTCTCGAGCTTCCGAAAGGGTGAGTGGGACGGCAGGTAGAGTTCCAAAGAGTAAGTTGTTCGTACATGTCCCATTTTCACGAACGAAGTCGGGTCAGGTAGTGTGTATCCCTTGAACAGTTTCTTCTGTGCCCCCTTTATCTCTTAGGCTTTTGATTCGGTCACAGTGCTGTGTGTATGTGTATGTTTGTGGCCGGTAAATGCGCGTTCCAAGCCCTAGCTTGGGGACAGTACTCCTGAATCGAATCCGTCTTTCTCATGGCTATGCAAGATTGGGACATATTCCAGCAGTCACAAAGGGGTGCTTAATGGAGGTTAGGGGTGCCCATTGTCCACTCAATGGATGGGACTAAAACCCCCCCCAACATGTGACCCCTGGTTGTGGAGTCTTTTCCGGTGAAGCTTTGAGAGTTGCAAAGCACTTTTGCTGCAAAGCACTGCCGAAAACTCTCACTTTTTGGAATGCCTTTGTTTATGCTAAACAAGGGTTCCAAAGGACACGTGTTGACACGCATTTCCGGAGCACACCATACATGCCAAATCAAGCCAAGTTTGGGAGTTGTTCTGAGATCAGGCACATTCAGGAATGAATCTGTTCAGATTTAGGATGCAAGCCCCCCCAAAAAGACCCTCAACAAAGCATACGGGGACAAGACCCTATTAAACAAAAAAGAAGAGGTACGGTACCCATTTTGCAAGGTACTTTGAGACTCCAGGCCTCCAGGTCTATACACTTAAACGATCTAGCATGATACAGAATCAAAATGTGCTCAAACACAACATCCTACTGTCCCTGGAAGAAACCCTGGACCATCCCAAGTATTCAGCCAACTGTTCCCTGGTCCAGGATGGTCCAGGTACCTCCTGAACTCTACTTGACTCCTTCATAGACCCCTAGACGAGTCAAACCCCAAGAGTCACAGAGCTCAGGCTGGTGTTTAGTCCCAGCCAGTGAGTGGAGTAGCTGGGCTCCCCTAGCTCCCCTCCACTCTAATAGGCACCCCAAGCTCTGTGACGCACCCCGAGCTCTGTGACGAAACGAGCACCGGACCTTGACTCCTGCACCGGACTCGTCGAAACACGTGGCGACAGGTCGACGTGAGATCCGAAGTCGAGACCCGACCCGACCCATCCATGTCTGGAATAGCTACCTATTAGGGAAGCAGCGCTGTTTCGTCCAGGAGCCGACAAATTGTTCGTGTTTTGCTTCTCTAGGTACTTATTTTCCCCATGAAGATGGCCCTAAGAATCTGAGTCCCATTGGGCCGTCGTCTGAGTTCGGAGACTTGATTCGTCTCGTCCAAGACACGGCCAAGCACCCAGCAGTTCCAGTGCTCGAGCGCCATCGCCTGAAACCCGAATCTGGGCACAGCAGTTCACGGCCCAGGATCCGACTCTGCTGGTGGACTCGAAAGGACCCGACTTAAAGTGCTCGAAAGAGGTGCTGACCTGTGAAGTCGGGTGCTGGTTTTTCCCCCCGTGATAACATAGAAATACAGATCTGTACAGTACACATTATACATATATATATATATATACAGCATATTATATTGTGAAATACAATATGTTACAGTAATACAATATATATATATATCATATCAATTCGGAACCTGTATTTTTGTTGCTGAGTATCGGTTTCCCTTATTGAATGGATCATCACTCAAAGGACACTGTCGCAAAGGCTCGATCGACATGGGAGGATGACGTGTGAATTCCTTTCGACATGGGAGGATGACATTGGATTCCTCAAAAGAGATTTGGATCCTTTGACAAGAACTTATCCAATTATCCAATTGGATGTTCGAGATGTTTGAAGCACCCTGATCCTTGACTAGATTTGGATCATCAAAGAAAGGTTGGTCACTGGGAAGGTGGTATTTGGATGGCCCACCTGACTCAGGAGTTCATAACAATGGCAACTTCTGTGCCTGGGACGAGAAAGCAACACCTGGGATTCCAGCGACACAGGCGTGGAGAAGCTCGGTGGTTACAGCTCATACGGGTGGTTTCGTGGCGCCCGGAGCCCCAAACCAGGTAGTCGATGACCCACAGCCCATATGAGTGGACAACATCTCTGGCAAACGAGGCACATCGAGGGACCCACAACAAAAAGGCAAAGAGAGAGAGAGAGACGGGAAAAGCATCAGAACCCGACCCAAAGCATAACCCTACCAAGTCCTAACCCAGTAAAACCAGGTCGTTTGCTTGCTTGAAGAGTCTTTTTGTATGACCAACTCCAGTATTCATGAGGTCCAACTGACCTGTAGGCTTTGCATGTGTCCAATCCTCATTCTCCGATCTCCGCTCATCTGCCGCTCCCGATGACATGGGAGACCAGAAGGACCAAGCAAACGCCCTGACCGTGCGATTTCCCTGTTCGATCGCCGTCTTGACTGTACAGGTACTCCTAGTGCACCTAGGACTTCATCGTGCACCAGCTCCGGATGTCAAGACCAGCGACCAGATCCGTGCACCTTTGCACTGAGGAGATATTCCGGAAAAAAAAATTGAAGAATTGATGGGTGTCTCTGTCAGGCCAGGACGTCTTTTTTTGCCTTTTCTGCTTCCCCAGGCCCTAGCTCGTCGGAAATGCCCACTGCCAGCTCCAAACCGAGAAAAAACCGAGCGAACCAGTCTTGGTGCCTACTCCCAGCAGCACACCATAGGCGGCCCCATAGCTCTGCTCCAGGAAGGCGCCCAAGGAGTTCCTCAAAAAGGCGGTCTGCACGTCTCCACACGGCTCGGCGTGTGGAGCGAAGAGGTGGCCACCCGGGGTATGTAGTGGTTCGCCCTCCGCTCCTCCTGTACATACAAGAAAGGTTGACTTGGTGTTGTAGTGTAAATGTCTTACTAAAACAATGGTTGTTCGGTAAGAACCCTTAAATCAATGGTTGACCAGGAAGCCTAGGGCAATGGTAGACTCTTGATTGATAAATCACCCCATATGAAGAGGGGATCCCTAGGGCAAGGGATCCAGTCGTACCGAACCTCAAATTAGGTGATGTGTTCGACACTGTAGGTGCCAGCCAGTCGGGTCCAGTCATACCGAACCTCAGAAGATACGACTGGATCCCTTTGTCGGGTACGTATGTCAATCGTGAACCCCCTTTCTCGTCCTGGCTGGGTAGACTCTAGTCTATATGACCTTCAAAAGTGGTCGCTCTGAGGAACTCAGCTCCCGGTTTCAACTGGAACCAGCCAGAAACTCCCTTAATTAGCATCCCTTCTTTCGCACCAGGAAGGCGTTCTGGGACCTCCAATCGTGGGGTGGGTCGTTGGTCCGAACATGAGAAGGCATGTACTCTTAATAGTTATATATATATAATAATGTTATATCCCAGACACTCCATGTATGCCATATGTGCCTACATTGGGGTGGTTTACTCAACTCAATTTATCCCTAGGGATCCAGTCGTACCTTCTCAGGTACGGTGGGACTGGGGTGGCTGTGGAGGGTCCGGTCGTGCCTTCTGAGAAGGTACTTGGATCCCTAGGGGTTATATATAGTAATGTTATATACCCAAACGGGTCACTTGCATTGGGTCAATGTAACTATTCCAGTCCCAAACATCGTCTGGTGATTCGTTCCACCAGCCATGACACGTCGTCGCCTTTCGCCCAGCCACGCTGCGAAGCCCGCAGGAGTTGCGGCATTCGCCGGAGTGGCTGACTGGCAGCTGAAGGAATGAAGGGATACTTGACACATCTCTACACATCTCAACACGGGAAAAGGCATGAATAAATAGCAATAACATGAAATAAACGGACATGTAAAAGCTGAATGAATGGATGACATCTATACAAGCTTGGACACAGCTTGAAGAGGAGGAATTAACGTTCTGAGGAGGAACCTGCCCTACACTCCTCTGGAGTTTCAGCAAAGCAAAGTTTCCACACGGGCCACACGGTTTTTGGAACCCTTACAAAAGGCATTTTATTGAAACAACAATTAACGGCTTGCCATACAAGTGATCAGTGGACCAGTGTGTGTCTCTTCTTGTGAACTGTCCATTCTCTTTCATCAGCTCCCATTTTCGAAGGTACTTGAAGTCGTGTCTCTCTCTCTCTCTCTTTCTGCCTGTAAGGCAATGGCTGCAGCGCATGCCCAGCACTTCATTCACCTGCACAAAGAGTCATCAATACCAAAGCAGCACAGTACGACTCCCCAGCGATCCTTGGCCACCGTACGCACCGTACGATCAGCTTTGCGATCCACCGTACGATCAGCTTTGTCATGAACTCGTGACCACTGTACCGAAAAGAGAGGAACTGTGGATCCATGGGAACTGTGGATCCATGGGAACTCCACCAGTATTATACATCATTACCCAAACACGACCTATGGGACTGCTATAGGACTGCCGAGAAACGGCCAGGGGTGGTTTGGGGGGTCAATGTAGGCATATATGGCAGTTTCATGGAGTGTCTGGGTTATACATCCTTTGGCAACCAAACGCATTGCAGTGACATTTTGCCCCTTCCTCTCCCGACATTTCGCACAACAACCCTGCCTTGCAGTGCGACCGCCAGTCGGGCCCACTTCGCATGTGAACACAGAAGGTGCTGAAGAAGCACACAATTTGCTCAGATTTATGCAATGATTCAATAGGTAAACGACCTAATTTTACTGGGTCTTTGGACGTGTAGTCAATAGGGGTTGGACATTGGACAAGGGTCTAACCATTGACTTGATCCGGACATAACCACCCCCCTACATCTATACAAGTCCAGTCTGACCCAGGTCTGACCTCCTTAGTGTTTGTGTATGACCAACTCCAGTATTTTCATGAGGTCAGTTCCTCACCTGTATGACTCATGTAGTACTGTGAGACTGTGAGATTCAAAAAAGGACTACAAAATAACGCCCGTTCTCGGCTCGATTCTATGAGTGCAACTGCCAACAAAATAAGTCAATTGACTCATGTTCACGATTCATTCGATCCAATGTGGTCCACAGTCAATCACTGCCTTGCTCCGTCTTGACTAAAGCGCAAAGAGCCAAAAGAGCTGTCTCGAGAGCGGTAAAGGCACGGCAACATGTCACACACGTCATGCCCGGGTCCCTAGCTTTCAGCATGTGCCACATGTCTTGTTTTGCCTCGGGGTCCATGTAAACAACAACAACAACAACAACAACAACAACAACCCCTAGGGATCCACATACCTTCTCAAGGTACTTGGGCCCTCCAAGCCTACATAAATAGTCTCCAATCACCGTACCTGAGAAGGTACTTGGATCCCTAGGAAACCCCTTTTTTTGGAGATTGTGCCATCTACTCTGAAACCACGTCGTGCCATCGGAGGCTCGTCTGTCACCTCCGAAACCACCACCGTTCCCCGACCTCCACCACGCGCAGTGGGGTTCCCACGCCAAGTCAAGGTGATGGGACTCTGCCAAGCCACTTAAAGGTACTTGAAGCCTCTTCCAACACCTCGAGTTGACTGTTGATTCATATCACTTCAAATCATCGAACCTATTAAATAGCTTCGATGATTTGAAGGACCATCTGGGGAAAAACCATCTGACTCAGTCAACCTGACAGTCTGTGCCGCACATCGCGAGCTCCGCGCCGCGAGCTTCGCGCCGCGAGCTTCCCGGAGCGGGAAAAAGGGAAGTCCACGACGTGAACGTGTTGGCTCGGCTGAACAGCCCAGACATGACCTCTGTTTTGATAGGTTGGACCATGTGATTTGACTCCAAAACAGGAGTCACTCAGGTCCTAGGTATAGAAAGAATCCAAGCGAGGATGGCGCCCTCGAAGAACGCCATGACCATGTGAAAAAAAATAACCTACCATGATTATAACGAAGCGATCGCGCCATCCACGGAGCACCTGCGAGGATTCCAGGGAGCACATGCGATGAGTTTTCAGAACGATCACCCGATTCCGCCCAACCAGGGCTAAGCACGGCACATACACCCCAGGCACTGCCACGAGCATGGCCAGGAAGCGTTGCTCGAACCTGGTGCACTGAAAGTAGAAAAAATTGAATCTCTCGGAATGCACAAACCTTCAATGGTTATTGGGATGGGTACCAGCTAGAATGAAGACACACCCAAACAGCAATCTAAGTCGGATAATTTGTTTCTCACACAAGCTTGTACATAGTTTCCTCAACGGACTTGGCTCAAATGCCGGACCTAATTAATGAGCGGTTTTACATAGGGATTTCCTAATGGGATCAAAAGGACGTATGACGTAGTAAATATAACCTACACTGGAATCAACATGGAAGTGGATGGCATGGCCCCTTGGGCGTTGTAATCTTGGTTGTAATTTGTTGGGACAGTTGGTAATTAATGTCGCATCTACTGCTACTGCTACTGACGAACCGAACACTACTGGTTTTTGTGGCGGGGATTCTATTCATACTCCCTCAATTCTTTGCTAGGGGGGGCCCATTTTGCGTCCTTAAGATCCAACAATTAGTTGTAACTACCCGCAGTCACAAAGGGGTGCTTAATGAAGGCTAGGGGTGCACATGATCCACTCAGGATGGGACTAAATACCACCCAACTCCATGTAACTCCTGGTCTATGCTTACATGCATGGCTTGCCACATCAGTCTCCAGTCAACAGCTCACCGTCCGCCGTCTTTGGCCTCAAATTGAAGGCGATCGAGGTGTTGCAGAAGAGGTTCTGCACGAGAACGCTTCGCCCGGCCACGCGAAGCGCGGCGCGGCGTGAACTCGAGTCGACCACGCGCCCTTCGAACGTGAGGAGTTCGCGTGTTCGCGTGAAGGAACGGGTCCAGGTGTGGCTGGCGGGAGTTCTCCGAGGTCTCTGGTTGAGCTGGGGAAGAACACCCAAACACTCTATGTATGCCAAACACTTCATACACCAACCCGCACCTTCACAGGTCATCACCTGCGACTTGTAAGTCCCCATTTCAGCCACCACTTCGGAGACCTGTAGAGTCGGGTGCTGGTATGGAGTATTGACCCGGTCAACACCCCAATGTGTCTCCCCAGGTCCCGGAGGCCCGGACCCCTTGAAATGACTTCAGTACCTGGACCCGGTTTTTGGACCGTTCGTACCTTCGCGAATAGAGATGACCCGAACCCAAAAATAGGTATAGATCTGCAACCCGGCTTTTCCAAGGTACGAACAGGTCGACTCCTCCAGGTTGGATGACATAGTTGCCTACCACTCACTTGCACTCGCACTCACTCACTCATCCACACTCACTCCCACTCCCACTCACTCTCACACTGATGAGCAAACATGGCAGTTCCATTCCCTGAGGATCGAAAGTTAGCTCTATATGCTAACATTTGGGGTTGTGTCTTCTGGGGCTCTCCGACCTCACCCTGTGAGGTCCGACCTCAAAAAACGAGATCATACCAGAACCCAAAAACCACAAAACCACAGAACCCAAAAACCACAAAACCAACGATCCCAAATTCAAATTCGTCACGGGTTGTCACGCTGGAGTCCGACAATGACCTCATTTTTAAAGGGACAAAATAGACCAATCACGGTCTGTCACGGTTCGTCACGCCCTGGTATGCTTGGTTCTTGGGATTTCATGGTCTTATCCTCCAACAATGATACTGGAATTGTATATACATTTCAGGTACCCCAATCTGTGATTCGACAACGTCTTCAAATAACACGATCAATAGAAACGTATGCATATCCTGGGATCATTTCTATTTGTGACCTATGTGTGGTCATGGATCGTCAGGGATTGGTCGAGTCTGGGACTGGATACTTCGTGTCGCGACCCGAGGACGGCGAAACGGACGGGCGTCGATGTGCGGAGAATCCAGGACACCGAGGACGGCGGATGTCTGGGATCTGCTCCCAGGAACCAAGGGCATTACTACTAGCAAGGACGCTACGAACGTAGCTCCTGTCATTACGATCTAGGAGCTTAGAAGCTACTCGTAACTATAGAAATTGCCCTTTGTTACTAAGGACTAGTAGCTACAATATGATATTAGATGATCCGCTCATCTTGGCAAATGAGCTTGGAGGCTGTTCCATGTGTCTTTGGAGGCTAATTTTGTAGGCAGCCGTGGGAACGTTCTCTGGAGCATCATTCAGTTCTGTCACGGAAGAACTGTGAGATGGTCTTTCAGTTCCTCCATGAGTCACTCACGGGCCGATCACTCCAATCACTAGATCTCCGGCCTCCAGCTCCAAAAATCACCCCCGAATGTCAGATGTGACAGCATGTAGCAAAACGACAAATGCAGAACCGCATCTGCAACACAACAATGGCCACCTCAATCAAACAGGTTCAAAAAAACACCATTTCAACATGTGATAGCAGCAATCAATGTCATGCATCACTCTCCTGTGATTTTTGTCATATCTTTTGACGCAGTCACCGATGCCCCGATGCCCTGGGCCGCGCGGCCAGGTACTCCACATTCACTGAAACCAGGTCTGGGCGGAGCAACGTGGTCCGTCCGAAGAGACACGCGTAAAGAGAGGATTACTCTTTGCGGCCGAACGGAGGGAACAAGTCTCCATGGAATATGTTCATCAACATATCAAGTGAATGGAATACAAATTGTGATGTTAACTGGTTTTGGAAGTGGGCCGACCTATCTTAGATGAACAATTCTGATAGCTTTGGTCATTATTGACCCGGTTTTCCACCCAAATGGCCGCAAATCAGCACAAATTGCAAAACGACCGTAAATTAGCGCAAAACGCACCAGCAAACGACCACAAAAATCCAAAATAACGCATATCAGACTGTCAGACGAAACGACCATAAAACCACAAGGACCAGACTTTTTGGGTAGTTGGAAGGTCCAGGTATACATACCCTAGGGATCCAAGTACCTTCTCAGAAGACACTTGGACCCTCCACAGCCACCCCAAACACCTTCTGAGAAGGTACTTGGATCCCTAGCGATAAATTGAGTTGAGTTAATTGTTTGTTTGTTGAACGTCCTTATACACTCGCTAACGCTCGCCAGAATCCTATAGAATAATCATGGAAGTGGAAAATGGTCCCTTGGATGACCATTTTTGCTCCACAAACAGGTGGTTGTCCAATTCCGCCATGATTGTTTCAAGAAGTGTACTAGTACAGTGTACAGTAACCAAAGCTATAATCAACAGCGACTTCGGCTCACAGTTTTTGAGGGCCCTTCATTGGAGGGGCTGTGCTTTTCAAATACCCAGGCAAAATGAACTCAGCCAACATCCATGGCGGCTCTTAATAAACATCCAAACAGGAGGGCACAGCGAAAAGAAATAATTGCAACTGGATCAATCCCAGGTACAAAAAGTAAACACTCCGACTCATTGATTGATCGGAGTTGTTCACTACAAAAATTCCATCGAAGCGGTGTCTATGGAAGGCAGTCATTGGTCACCCCTTTAAGATTCAGATCCCAAACACATCAGGCCTCCACGCATTATTTTCTATAGGGCAAATCAGGAAAAACATGCGAGCTTAAGTATGTAACAATGGATGATGACAATTTTCCTCAAACATAGACAAGTGATAATATGTTACCCCATGTTACGGGTGTGCTAGGACACACCATGACACACCTTTAACGCTATGACATGGCGGTGTGAGATCCCCGACTGCTTCCCAGCAGGACGCATCGCCTCA